CCTCTGGAACAAAATTATGATTGTATCTCATTCACCCTGTCTGGTGTGAAGTCATTTTGGCTTGTAGATATCCCTTACTAACATGATGCTTTCTCCCAAAACAGGCTCATCCCCTTAAGATCTCAGTGCAGTTATCTGCTCCAGCAGATAAACTATTGACATATTTTCTCAGGTGCCTTTAGAGTAACGCAAACGATTGACTAAGCCAGCACATCAATCTGAATTACCTATGTGTGAGTTGTGCAAAGTATCTTTATTTGGCTCTATGCGTTCAGCTTCTGCAAACAGTTAGGTGGGATCATGAAGCATTCCCCTCAAGGGGAGGAGGGGGAATCCCACCCTGCGTCTGAGCTTTCATCCCACCCTTGCATCAGCAGCCATAAAGACCAGAAACCTAACTTTGCCCTCCCTCCCCCCAAAAGCCAACCTTCTGAAGATGCATCACCATCACCAACTCTGTACTGGCCAACAGCTGAAGCTTTCTGCAAATTGCATGCTTATGCAGAACACACTGAATCTTGCCTAGTTCCCCCCTCCCCCCCCCATTTTATTTCAATCCTTGCAACTGAATCTTTTCCAAGATGGGGCAGAGGGGAGGGGAGCTGCCCAAACTATACGTATAATTTATATACTTCATTTATCCTTTTTAAAATCATGTGGCAATTATTCAGACTTTGTTTCATTTATTCTCTCTTCTCCCCCCACCCCCATTTTCAGGTTGTTTTCTCATTAATTCCTTTGAAGAAAATTAAGAAAACTCCATTAAATTCTGTTTTCCTTTGAAATCTTTGGGATTCCCTAAAATGAATAAATTCAAACAAAGCCAAGACAGACAAAATAAAGATGCCCTGAGAACAAAACGCCCCACTTCTGGGTCTGCTCTGAAAGGTCTGTCCAATCCTTTGTTGTACGCCTCAATGCAGAACCACTTTCTGCTTTCTGAAAGGCTTCTGCTCTGCCCTCTTCCAGCACAGCCTCTATCTCGCCCATCAGTGGGGGATTCGGTGCTTGGCCCCTTGCCCCGAGGCAGAACATATGCTCCCTTCTAACTCAACTCCAACTAGCCTGTTTGGGGGTGGAATCATTAATATACATAAAACTATCACCTGCCTCTAAAGAAAGACTAAGCATGAAACTAACACACAGAGACAAATTAACTCATATTCTAAGTGCATCCAGGTTTCCGGTGATCATCCCCAATGCAAATCATTGCAAAGATATGATAGTGCCTTTTTTTCCACCCTTCTTTAACAAAAAGAACTAAAAAGGAGAAGATCAACGTCAATTGCAGTAGTACTAAAGACATTTTCTGCTTGGTATGCAGTAAAAAGGAACCATTGGTACAGCCTCAGACGCTCGCACGTCACCATGACTTCTGGATAAAGAGGAAACATGCAAAAAACAGTCAAGAGCTGCACTGAAATTAATTAGAGGGAAGGCCTATTAAAAGGAGCTCTGTTAATTCAACATGAAGGGAGAACCGCCAAACAGCATCCCAGGCGTTGCAAATTGGTCAGCCTCAGCTGCCGTGTTCAGCGCCTGTGTTGTCAGCGCTGATGGGCCTTTGAACAGATGTACAGTACAATCCCTCTCTACTCAGAGGTAAGCCCTCTTAGCCTCAATAGGGCTTACTCTTAGGTCAGTGTGTACAGGACTGCTGGCTTTAAAACTGCACTATTAAAAGTGGGAAACCTCTACTTCAATTTATTCCAGCTTTCCTTTGGAGAACCTGGTTCTTTTGCTTCTCGCTTTTCATTTTACATTCTCTACTGAGATATTGGTGCATTATGTCGAAGAGCGCAATCCCATGCATATTTAGACGGAGAAAAGCCCTACAACTCCCTGAATGCCAGCCATGCATGCCAGGAGTGATGGGACTTTCTCTCTGGGCAGACACAGGATTGCATGCCAAACTCTGTTTTCATGTTTGGCTTCCTTTGTGATAACCCTGCCGCCTTTTCGGCACAATGCCTCGTCTGTTAGACTTTTTCACCATTCCTGAACACTGAACATGTTGGCTCAGGGATCATGGGAACTGTAGTCCAATACCTCTGAGAGTAGGGGGACCAGATTGGGAAAGCTTGTATTAACTCTTTGTACACTATCAAAGCAGAATTGTTTGGGGTAAAAGTCAGCATTGAAATCCCTAATGCAGCCCGGGGTGCTTCCGCTGGTCCTCAGCACCACAGGTGTCCTGCTCCAATTTCTTAATCTCCTGATTATTAAGGTTTTCCTCATCTGAACAGTTCTCTTGCCCTTTGGGCACTTTGTAAAGGGTTAGGGTTAGGATTAGATTCAAGATGAGATGGAAGACACGAGGACACCCTGAAACAGAGCATTGTGAGCACATGGGAGTCCCCACTATAGGCTCAAACAGGTTTTGACAGAAGCTGAATGATCAATTTGCGGAGAAGGGGCCTAAAGGGACCTTCCAAGTTTCGAGAAGGAGAAATAGAAGGTTAGACTGCATGGTTGGTTGGCCAGCTTGGGCAGGGTTTTTCTGGTGTCATGCTGAAAACATCGGATAAAGAACCTCGCTCACCCAGTGCCCAACTTGGGGGAGAGTCAAGAATGCCAGGAGGCGACTCAAGGGGATGCCACATCCTACCAGTCGGCGTGCTTTGCAGGCCTTGCCTGTCCATAGAGATCTCAGAGAACAAAGGCAGGCCTGGACAGGCTGTCTGACTAGAACCACTTGCTTGGAGCAGCCTGGTGAATTCCTCTGCTCTCAGCTGGCCCCTCCAGCACAAACAGCTCGATGGGGATCTGGCAAGGCCACGACAGATTTCGACCACCGTGCTGGTCCTCTGCTGTATGGCAAGCCCATGCTAGATGCCCTGGCAGAGATCTACTCTGTGCCAGATTCCTTCAGCTAAGAGGCGTGGCAACTTTAAATGCACCCTCCACATAATCCAAGTGTCACAAAGACTCCACTGAGAGAAAAGGATGGACTTTTCCCATATCCCTCACGTTACAGAGGAATTCACTTCCAGAGGATGTTCCTCTGGCTTGAACAGTGGTCAACGAGGGTTAGGCAAATTCACAGAGAGAAAGCCCTGGTGGCCCTATGCTACCTAGTCTCAGAGTCAGGATTGCCTGCCCTGCTTCTGGGTTTCCCAAGGGCAGCTGGTTGGCACTCTGGGGACAGAGTGCTGGACCAGTGGGGCCTTGGTCTGATCCAGCCGGGCACTTTGGCTGTTCTGCACTGGGGCCAAGATGGAAGCTGAGCACAGCCTGCTGCCTTGTGCCAAGTCGGATCACTGGCCCACCCATCCTGCTGTTCTGCCCTCAAGCCAGAAGCAACTCCCCCACCAGTAACAATGACATTCCCCCACCATCCCGCCCCAGTGAAAAACGTCCTCCCACTCCTTCCAACAATCAATCGGACACAGCCAGTCACAAGGGGACATTATGGGATACAATGGCATCGTACTGATCCAAATGCAGGATGCCCTGAATGTCAACTCCCATCTGCCCCAAACAGCAGGGCCGATAAAACCACTCGGGTTGGAAAAAGCTGGACAACTGGCAAGAGCCTCCCAGGTTTCAGACAGGGGCCTTTCCTCAAGGACTGACCCGGAGATCTATCCTGCAAAGCATTCACTCTACCAAAATACCACACTTGGTGTTTTGCATACTGCTAAGGAGGAAAAGCTTTTGTTAAAAAAAAAAAAGATCTATTATAGAGCTTGTGGGTTCCCCACACACCAGAAAAAATGGATGAACACAATGTAATAAACATTAAATGATGATAATAGAGGAGGACATCTAGATAGAACTGGCTGAAGAGTTATCTTCTTTGACTCTATCTTAGTGCAGGGTGGAGTTAAAGCTTCACCAACATCACGGTGGTGCTGCTGGAGCAGCCCAAGCACCTGGTTAGATACCGAATGGGCCAGGAGGGTCAGGTCCCTGCACAAGAACTGTGCTTCTCTGTGGCTTCCCAGCCCCAGAGCACTTATTCAAGGTGGACTTCAGTGTGGCATAAGGGAGAAGGAAGCACCTGCAGATGACTTAAGTCAATCAAGCTCAACATCCAGTTTGATTTTGTAACATATAAAGGCTGAGTGATTATTCTATTTTTTTCTAGGACTGTACAGCAGGGACCTGTGCCAGATGGTCCATCTGGCAATTTGAAAACTGTCCTGAGCACCACCACAAAATGACTGCTATGGAAGCCATGGCAAAAAAACAAAAAACAAACAACACCCCCCTTGCCCAACAGAGAGGGCCTGAAGTGGGTGGGGTGGGGTGCCTGAGCCCAAAACACTAAACTGCTCCTTTTAACCAAGGTTTTGGCATCAACAGAATCCTGCCCCACAACCATCGCAGCTGCTAGAAAGAAACAACATGCACGCACAGGACTCTTCTCAAGAGGGAGCAGCTGGGAGGGCATGCGGGGACATGGCACAGTGGTGCTCGTCTCTGCTGGACACTGACCGTGCCTCATCCATACAGGTGCCTTCTGCTCTCCGAACTCCCTCCAATCATGTTTTATATGCTACCCATCCCAACATCAGGTGCCAGCATATCTCAGGCAGACCTGGAATGACTTGGGTCTGAGAGAACCTAGAGGCACTGCTAGTCAGCACAGATTATTTTGACTAAGACCATCTGACTCTGTGAGACAACTTTCTTTGTGTCATGAATATTTATCTGCCTTTTGAACTAGAGGACTTGACATTGCAGCAGATTTTCTCACACAAAATGATTTTTGGAGGGGTGAAAAGTGTTTCTTTTTTAAGCAATCAAGCAAAGCCAAACTAGTCTGGTGGAAGAGTGGCTTGTTAGCCGGTGTCACTAGAAGCGAGGCTTCCCCCTGAAAGGGGAAACCATGTGTCTTGCCAATTTGGCTTTTCCTAAGCTGGTGCCCTCCACGTGACTCTGGGGAGTGCAGCCCAATGCATCTGGAAGGCATCAGGTCCAGGAAGATCGACCTAATTCATAGAGAAGCATGCTGCCCCTAAATGTGTTGGTTTCTGGAAGAGTAAGAGAGAAAGTGTTGTAAGAGTCCACTTTTATTTGTGTCTGCAAATTGTAAGGCAAGAGCCCTGGATTGCAGACAAGTACAAAATGTCAAACCGAGGAGAAAGGAGAAAGAACAGGTGCTCAGGACACTGATTTTAGGAGAGGTATGTCGGTCACTTCATGGATGCCATCTTTATCGATGAAGCGAGCACTGAAGGAAGGCAAGTTCAGGATGAAGCGTTTCTGAAGCTGTGGGAGGAGGAAGGAAAGTTTGTTCAGTGCTTTCGGCAAGTCATCCAAAAGTTGGAGCAGCTCCTCAGTTGTCTTTTTCAATTTCATTTCTCTGCTGCATGAACAAAGCTGCTTCCCCCCCTAAGAAGCCCAAGGGACTGCGGCCAAATGTTCGCCGTTCAATTTTAGTTCTAATCTCAGAGTGAGCATCAACTCAAGGGGTCCCAAGCCTTTCAGGATCAGTAGGAACATCTGGAAACTTGAGTTTTGTATTCAAAAAATGCTAAGATGGACATGGCCAGTCACAAAACATTCATTACTAGAAGGAAGCTAGAAGTCTAAAAGAAAGTTAGCAGGGTCAAGAACAGAAGGAAGGCTCAGAAGGGACCTGAGCTCCAGAAGAAGAAAAAAACACTCTTTTGAACTCAAACAAAGATGACATGGGAGGACAGCAGTTGACTTTGCAATGTGCCAGCTCACAGTAAAATAATTTAAACACCTTAATAAAAATGAAAATTAGGAAGGACAGATAGGCTGATGGTGCCAAGACTAGAACCTATGTTTGGAACCCCTGGTCTGGTCCCTTAATATATGAAGAGTAGGGACCCATGAAAAGGTCATAGGAGAACTGAGATCAGTGTGACAATTAAAAATTGAACAATTCCCTGCCTTCCTGGTCCCCCCAAATTCCTGTTTCCTCTTGGTGAGTCAGGGGGCAGCTGCTGGAGTAACTGAGTGGGAGAAACTGGGTTGAGAAGCAACTTGGACCTTAATCTCTGCTCTCCCTCCTCTTCCCTGTTGTGCTGTGCTCTGATACCAGCCTCATGGAATGTGAACAGGTTTGATAGACACATATTACGGATAACAGCAACCATGCTCACCATTTATAACATTTATATACTACTTTCTAAACCAACCGCATTGGTGTATGGTCCTTACATAAAGATCTGATAGACCAAAAGTCAGCTTGTCCTAATCAGGGGCGGGGCATTTTTGGCCAAGAGGGCCACCATGGGGAGTGTGGCCACCTGCAGGGCTTGTGGTCTGGCAGAACACATGCCCACAAGACAGCTTTCACAGCCCTGGTGGCCTTTTAGGAAGACACTGCCATCCCTGGGGAGAAGTTCTGGTCCAACAAACAGCACCTCCACCCCGGAGCACCTGGAGTTGAGCCCAGCAATATACAGACTGCCTTTATGCTCCCTGCACTGGGGTTTTCTGGCAGTCATGCCAGCCTCCCTCCCATCCATGCAAGGTAACTGCAACATTGTATTTAATTTAGCACCACCTGGGTAGCAAACCTATTAATCAGATGAAGCCCCAGTCAGATGGGCTGGTAATTTGAATTTTAAAAATGAAAGAAGCTGAAATTTCATTCAAAATGGAAGAACAAGAAATATTTCCAGACAGGGTAATATAAGCTTTATCAGGAAAACATGAAGCAAATTAGGATGGGTATGGGGAGAAAAATGCTTATTCCCCAGTAGCCAATTTCACATCTGGCTGCTTTTTATTTATTGCTGCTTCTGGCAATATTTATTTATTTGTATCTTTATTTGGCAGAGGGTGAGAGGAGAGAAGGTACAACAGCCAAAGAGGGAAAAGCCCAGGCCAAACAAAGGCAGCCAAACATTAGCCCCCCGGGCTGGGGCAGGTCACTCACCTCCTCGAGACATTTCTGGAGAACCTCCACTGCTTCTTCACGGGTGATACCTGGAGGAGGAACGAAAAAGAGCAGCACAGACAGCTTTGATTAGCAGCCAAGCCTCTTGCCCTCCCCGCCCCAAAACCCTTTACAGAGTTCGAACAGCTTTTCAGCCATGTACAAAGGAACGAAAGTCTCTTTCCCAGCTCTGCGAAAACTCATTCCAGATGTATGAGGGATCACCTGTGCCCCAGCACTCTTGCCCAACGAGCCATCGAAAATCGATTTGTTCCACCGTAACGGGAAGCCCGACAGAACCCTCCCTCCCACGGCCAGGGGCTCGGGTGCTGGAAGAGTCCGGCCAGCTCAGCCTTCTTCAGCATATTACTGCTTTAAATCAGCTCCATCTGTCTGCGGTCGGCTGCAAATCCCTCAGAGGGGTGGAGTGCTGGGCTTTGAGTGCGGCATTTTAACAATGGGGATGGCACGTGTGCAAAGAGCCCCGGCTATTCTCCTGCGTTAGAAAAAAGGTTTTCCCCATGCTGGGGACAGTGAACTGCGAGTAAATGCTAGGTCAGGGGACAGAATTCTGCTTTCGCCAATGAGAGGTGAGGGGCGAGGGAGAGGGAAGGCAACCAAAGACATTTTGCAGTGGCAATGCAGCCTGAAAACAAGGCAGAATTTGCATCAAATTGGCTTCTTCAGATAAGTTAGCTTGAATCAATAGTTGATTACAAATACTCAACATTTATCAAGAGTTCCAATTTTGCCACGTAGCTTTCAGTTTAAAAAAACATCGATACACTATGGGTGCAAAATTAAAACTCAACATTTGGCATGCAAGTATTTTAAACTGTTTCGGCGGATATCAATTATGAAACTGCATCCACTGCTCTGCCCCAACATGATGCCCCGTGGGTGTTTTGGATTACAGATCCATCATCCCCAATCATCACCATGACATTTGGATGGCAGTACCTTCAAAAAGGCTGGCAAAAGTTGTTGACTATTGAATATAGCCACAGAGTACACACTCCAGCAGGTCATCTACTGAATATTGTCTTATGTTAATACCAAGAGCTGAACACTATTCAAGATTAAGATACAATGTCTTAGAAAACCTGAGCCTCCAGCTTTCCTGCAGCTTAGGAATGAATGGGCTATGCCTGTAGAAAGCCCACAAAGCAAGTAGAAGGGTGGTAAACGAGCTCTTTTTAATCCGGCAGGAAGCTCAATTCATTACGTCTTCCCTTGAAAAGTTTTCAAGCAACCTGAAGGGGGGTTTTGTGTTCCTCAGGCAGATTAAAAGGTTGCCACTGGCTTACTGAATGAACCTTAATATATGTACAGCAGGATAAGAGCAGCGCCCAAGATGATCAGGAGTCAAGATGCAACTTTTAATTCCTTTTTTAAATTCCTGTAAGTTAGTGTCACCTATTTTACTTCATGTGGAGGAAATACTACTCCCAGATTCCTGGAGACCAGAAATCTAACACTAATCCCAAATGGCAGGCATACCTCAAGGACTACCCCATAGCCAAGACAAGTGCTCCTGCTGCAAACCGTCTCCTTTGCCTGTGTCCCTGGACTAGCTGAGTAACAAGCAGTGACCTGGGATGCAATCAATGGTTACCTGTGAGTAGCATAACCTACTGCTATAGCTGTGGTGATGCAGCAGCAGGCAAGGATATGCTTCCATTTTCAATCAACAATCCAGGAATGCCTCGTTCTTGCCTTGTTATTGCTACATCCAAACCCTGAACTCTGCATTGTTAGGGGTTAACATAGCCCAGAGTTAATCCAATACCATACCATGGGCAGTTCCTAAGTTTGCAATTGAAAGTGCATGTGCCTAACATGTGGGAAGCTTCATTGCCACCCACAGTTGCTTGTCCCCTAGATTAAATTAATCTAGTTTAATATTTGTTATATGTGAACAGAGTCAATGGCTCTTAAAAAAAACCCATGATCAGGAATGAACATAATGGGTTAGATGCAGGCTATTAGCTGTCCTTAAGTCCCACTGAAATCAATGGCACTTAAGAAAGCCCTAACTTTCATATTTTTCATATTATTTCACCAGAAGGCAGAGGTGTAACTCAAACCTATAGTTCCAAACTGCCTTAAACAGAATATAATAATTCTGCACTAAGAAATGAGTTCTGACACCTGCACAAGCCATGCAAATTGGCAGAAATCTCCTCATTGGCAGAAATTGGAGAATCTTCTGCTCCTGCGAGGCCAGAGGAGAGCGAAAGCCATTCGCTTGCCTCCAGACACCTATAAACACTGCTTTGCCCTTTCAGCCCAACACTTGATAGAGCGGGACTGCTCACACAGCACCATAAGGGTTAGAAATCTGAGCGACAGCAAGATGACTGCACCTGGAATTCTTGGGGTGCCCCTCCAACAAATCTGTCCTTACCTGGTTTGTAGTAGCGGTCAAGGATGCTGAGTGTTAGAAATGCCCCATAGCCATGGGCTGCGAAGGGAGCTTTGGCCAAAGAGGCAAGATAGTCCATATAGTAAAGGGCAGGCCCATCCTGTTCATCATAGCCAGCCAGGAGGAGGTTGACATGGTAAGGCGTCTGCACAGAAGAAGAAGAAGAAGTAAGAACACAGATCTGGAAAGAAGGACCTCCGATACTTTCTACATTCTAAAAGCAAGAAAAGAAAGCCCCAAGCAAGACTTGTGAGCTACAAACACCAGAGCCCTGCTCCAATCATCCAATGCATCCCTAGCAATTTTTATTGGGGGGACTAGAGTTATTCCCAGTCTGGCAATGCAGACTTTCCCCCTCCTATTTCCACCTAAATCGGGGTGGGTAAGCCATGAGCCACATATGCCACCCCAGGGGCTACTGTGACCTCCCATGGGTCCCTTGCCACTTCCCCCGCATGCATGAAGATGCAGCGGGGGACTGATGCAGGCCAGTGAAGCAATGCACCTCCCCCCAGACAAACAAGTGGTCCACCTCTGAATTACAGGATGAGTTCCTGTAAGACAGTGAACCAATCAGCTTTGTAGCAAGGAAAGATGTTACTTGGAGAAGCAAGGAACTGCTTCAGAGGGACTTCAGAGACTAAAAGCAGCTCCAGTGTCACTGATTTAATTAGCCCATGCTAACACCCCCTTATTGACGCCTAAACATCTTGCACATGCAGAAGCTGGCAAACTGAAGGTGTGCGCTAATTGGAGGCTCAGGTTCTGGGCCACAAGAATGGCTTCTAAACACCAACTTTACCTAAGCTGGTGTCACATGTCAAAGCACACATACACAAATGATACGCAAGCGCCTTAGATCCTGACAGCTTTGCAACAATTCGATCAAGAATGCTTAGTTGATAGAGACTAAAAAGGCATTTCAAGCCTTCCTCAAATTTTGTATTTCCTAATTTGCTTTGTTCGGTGGAGTGGGGAAAACCACAAATTTGGTCCATAGGAAGCTGTCCATCTAAGCCAGGGCTGTCAGTACTGGTTGGCAACAGCCCCGCAGGGTTCCACAAGCGTGTGAATCTTTCCCAGCCCTACCTGGAGGACTGGAAATCAAGCCTGGAGCCCTCTGCATGCCAAGCAGTTGCTCTCCCAGCAAACCGCAGCCCTTCCACATTACAGAAGAGAAGGCTGCCACCCAATGCAGAAGCACCACGCTTCCATTCCCTGGAAGTGCCCCTTTATTATGCAGGGCTCCTTTCCACAGCCCTCCCTCAAGGGCACAGGGACACAGTGCAATGTTGTACACCAACTGCTCTTGAACAGTGTGTCCGGGCACACTTGGGCATGACAAGCAAACTGCCAGTGGTTCGCTAGGAGGGCGGAATGGATGAGCGCGGGCCCTTATAGAGATACAACCCTGTGGGAGGCAGGTTCAGCTAGGGGACCATTATGGTCAAGCAAAGATTTGAACCTGGTTTAAATATGGTTACCAAGAGACTTTTGCAAGGTCTAATGGAAAAAGAAGCAGCCAATTCTGTAGTTTTAATTGCAAGAATCTTAACTTGGCACTTTTTTCAAAAGTACAATTAGTAAAGTTTAACTCAAGGGATGTCTGGTTAAAGAAGCAGAGTAAAAAACTTTTTTAAAATCAGCGATCATGTTCACATGGTGTTACACATAGCAGAAAGGGTAGGAGGAATTTGCCTTGCACTGTTTGATTTAAAATATCTACGGTGATTAGGAAGAAGCGTGAAATCCTTCAGAATTTACAGCTAGAGGGAGGCACAGTGACAACGGCACCCAACAAAACAACAAGATCAGTCACGGGAGGTCGGAGCGGCGGCGGTGTGACATCTGGCAGAAGCCAAAGGCACAGAGAAGTGGGGAGAGAGGCAGCAGGCGCGAGGAAGGCATCCTACCAAGCACGGACAATGGAAGGGGAACTGCCAGCCCATTTGGACCCAGGCCAGCCTGAGCTACCTGTAATTAAATGTATCCTCCTAAGGCGCTGCACTCAACAAAGTGTACGTGCAAGTTAGGAGGAGAGGGAGATGTGGCCTTTCCATGCACAAACACGGCTGTCTCTTATTGCCAGAACAGGTGAACCCATGGTGGGTGGAGGTGGCACAGAAAGAGGCCAGAAGCCCCATTCTAGACCAGCTAAACTGCATCATTCGATGTGGTCCTGGGGATGCTGCTTCAGTGGAAGCCAGAAGGCGCATAATCGCTTTGCTCACGCATGCACAGACCTCACCTGGTTTCTCTACACTTGACAACTAGCAGAAAGGGACTCAGTCGAAAAGCCCTATGTTTGAGGACATGAGGGTGACCTTAAATGTTCTATGTGCGGTTGTTCACAAGGGCATTAAACAACAGCACAGGCTCAAGAGCAACCTGTTTCCATCTGTGCCTAGCCAGATTATGTCATACTCGGACTAAGAGCTGCTGAAGAAGCAGACCTCCCCTTCTCCCTGGCCACCAAAAAGTGGCATGCGGCCTCCAAATTTGGAGGGGCGGTTAATCCTCTAAAAGCTGCTAAGAGACCTACATACTCCAAATTTGTCTAAGTTCCCTGTAAACTGTGTCTTGAGGCTGTGACCTGCACCGCCCTTGCCACTGAGTCAGGTTCAGAGTCAAAGCCTTTAGATACGGGTGATGAAGCCAGCTTCCACCAGTCTGCCTAATCTACCCAACTACTGGTGAACTTGGCTCGGCAGAAAAACTTGGAAAAAAATGACTTTTATACTGTGCTAAGCTGGAAAAAATGTTGTTTCAAACAAGGCACAGAAAAAACCATCAGTTTCACTTTCTCCCAAATTCAAATCCATTAAACTTCAAGTTCTTTCTCTCCCAAATATGTAGAATTTTGTGGAAGATGGTGAAAGAAACGGAAACAAAATTCTCAAAAGCCAAACAAAACTTGGCTGCATCAGCCAAATTCAATAATAAAGCCATTCCTAGCATAGAGATGGCCATGCTGTACCTGCCTAACATAAAACAGTCAGGAAAAGGAGGTGACACCTCTCAACTAAGCACTCACATGGTCAAATCCACAACGATTTAAACTCAAACTTTTAGAAGCAAAGTGTTCAAAGTCCTGGGCCTGGCAGGATGAATCCACCCATTTATCAAATATTTGAATTCTTTTAATCTCAAGTTCCTTCCATCTGAAACATGGTGAATGTTGCAAATTTTGCTAAATTCTTATCACACTGAAATGAAATCCACCCCCCAACATCACTTGGTTCAATCTCCCCAGGATAAGATTACCTTTGGGCAAGGAGAACAATAGGAAAAGCAGCTCACTGAAGCTTTACAGGGGAAGATCTCAATGAAGCTCAAATCCACAAAGCAACCTGCTTTCCACACTTTCCCAAAAATGCTTTCCACAAGCCTTAAAAAAAGCTCTCAACCTCCGTGTAAATGCTGCTATCACGAAAGCAGAGAAAGAGTCCTCTTACAGAGTGGAAAGAACAAGACCACATGCACTTGCTTTTTGCATTTCTATACCCCCCAATAACTGGAGTTTCACAGCGAAGTAGAAATAGACAGGCAGTTTTCAGAATGGAGGGAAGCAACTGGAGGATTCCAAAGGACGTGACTGGGACAAATAACTTCCATTAGGAACTATTTGGGAGGGGTGAGCTGGAAGATAACCTAGTTTGTGAAGGACACCATCACAGGCGGGTGAAAACAGAAGCAGACAGTTAAAAGCTCTTACACAGCCAGGATGGAATTGATCTAAATCAAATGGCTTTAAATCACAATTTAAATCACTACTATGTTTAAATCATGATGTCTAAATAATTTGCAGGCATACTCGCCTTACCCATAAGTAGAGCAACTTCATCAAATTATTCCTGAACTTGGTCTCATTTTACGGTCTGCTGCCATTACAAGTTTTCTCCTCCAAGGAAAGAATATTATGATAAACCTCAGGCTAGACAAAAAAAAATCCAAAGACTTGTGGGGTATTCTGCTCAGAAGGTTTCACTTTCATTTTTACTGCTTGTCCCTCCCTCCTCACACTTAGCTTTTTGTGCCAATCTATTCCACTCCCAACAATCTTCTATTCATTGAATTTTTTCAAACTTAACACTTCAAAGTTTTAAGGGGCTGATTTTGTGTATATAGATTTGCAAAGCAAATGGGATTAAGGTCTATCTCTCAACTCCGTATGCTTATTTTATAACATTTTTTGTGTGAAGAAGAGGCGTCGGAGCTCTGCAGATGCAAATTCACAATTTTGAGAACTGCAAAACCAAGAATCAGCAATAATATTGTCTAGATAGAAAAACTGCTGAATAATCTTACAGAAACCTCTAGAAGAACATGACATTGTGAATGGATTAATGGAATGCATTTACCAAAAAATTTAAACAGTGCATGTATATACAGCTTCATGCTACATAAATAAAAACGAATCCCTATTTCACAATGAATAACCTTTGGACTACAATGTATCTTAAATAGAAAACTATCTTTAATAGATTTTCCTCAAAAGCATTTTATTTTAAAAATCCAATTTAAATAAAAATCAATTTTAAAAATCAATTTTGATGTTTTTTCACCCTGTACACAGTACAGTGAAGACACAATTGTGCTGGATGCCTCAATGAGGGAGACAGCTCTGTTCAATAACGGCAAAAAACTTGGGTTCCAGTATTTTAACCTGAACATTACATTTTCCTTTATTGAAAAAGAGAGCTGTGCTTTCCTCATTTCTTCTTCCCCTTCTTTTTAAAAAGGCTGGGCTTTTGTCATTAAAAAAAAGGGGGGGGGAGATCAAATCAGCTTTTCATCAGCTAAAGCAATGGAGCTGCTGTACACAAATGTGATGATTCAACCTGGTGTGAGGGGCACCATAATGGGACACATACTGCCTGTCACTTTTTATGCGTCTTTATACCAGCCACGTGTTCTGACGCTTCAGCTTAAGAACTGCGTTGCTGAAATAAAACAGATGCCTCTAGAAGGCCAAAGAGATGCTGCGAGGAGCTCCCAAGCAAGACCGGAAGCATCAGCCCAGATGACTGGGCCATGAGTGGTGCTCAGCATGGTAAAAGGACCCCACCCATGCAGAGGCCTCTGCTTAAAGTGGGTCCAATTTCACATTGTTCCTCCCTGGACAATGATCTATCCCAGCTGGGG